AATAGTTAGTAATAAGGTACATCAATTTGCAATTGTGGGAAAAAATATGCAATTGACTCTGGTGATATGTTTATTACAGTATTGTGATTGCAAGGAGATGCCTGAGCTGCTCACAATAATTTAAAACATTTTTTTTCAAAAACCAGGAGTCAATTATTTCCATGATCAAATAAAGCCTTCTCCAACCTGATGCTTCCATGAAGAAAATTCAGTGTAAGAAGGTGTTCTCCTGGTGCACTAATTTTATGTGTGTAGTGAGCATTCAAAACATGCGATCACACTTGCTACATGAAGAGGTACTGTTTGTTCCAATTTGTTTTTGCCGGCAGATATATTTGTTACAAAGTTTGAAGTAGTTTATTAATGATATATAGGATTAGATGTACATTTGTTTGATACATGCCCAGATTATCAATGCAATGATTTTCCTATAGCCATATATCACCTAATGTCTTCTGTGATATGACATAGTCCAATTCAATAGGTCAATTTATTATCTGATATTTATTGAGTGCGATGCTGATGCTCATTTTGCATCACAGCCTTCCTGAAAGCCAACTACACATCTTTTATGAATATATCTTCAATGTCAAAAAGTCTCACTCACCTTTCTTATTCCATGTTATTGCAGAGGGGGAAACAAATTGAAGCTCTACAGTGGTGCTACAGGAAGGAAGTTTGACTGCTGCAGGAGGTTTATGAATTCCTCCTGCATTGTATTTTGGTTCCTTAATATTTATATATCTTGGTTCATCTGAGGGCAGATAGGGGGCTTGGCAATCTGGAAAGCAGCCCATTCAGAAGAAGGAAAATTCTGGTCCTAAACCTCTGCTGCCTTGCAGGATATCTTCGAGAAAATAAAAGGCTAAAGAGTAACTCCTACACAAATCCAGAGTGGAGTCCCTAAGACGGTTGGATGGCGCCTTGTACACCTCCTTCCAGCAACTCCAGCAGCCAGGTAAAGGTAAAGGTAAAGGGACCCCTGACCATTAGGTCCAGTCGTGACCGACTCTGAGGTTGCGGCGCTCATCTCGGTTTACTGGCCAAGGGAGCCGACGTACAGCTTCCGGGTCATGTGGCCAGCATGACTAAGTCACTTTTGGCGAACCAGAGCAGCGCACGGAAATGCCGTTTACCTTCCCGCCGGAGCAGTACCTATTTATCTACTTGCACTTTGACGTGCTTTCGAACTGCTAGGTTGGCAGGAGCAGGGACTGAACAACGGGAGCTCACCCCATGACGGGGATTCGAACTGCCGACCTTCTGATCGGCAAGTCCTAGGCTCTGTGGTTTAACCCACAGCGCCACCCGCGCACAGGTGCCAAACGTATTTTTTCTGTTTTTCTTTGGACCACATCAGTGAGGCCGAGAAGGGGAGGGGTCTTGTTGTCTGGGCAGCCCAGAGCCTCTATGCATACACGACCTGCTCCTCCCTGGCATGCTATGTTTACTGTGTAGGTTCAGGATGCTATTTTTGTGGGAGTAGCGTTCCCTCATGTGAACTGAGAAAGTCTGAATTAACCCTCAGTGAAGTCAAATGAAGCACTTCAGTGAGGTGAGAAAACCTTGTGTCACCAGCAGGGGGAGGTTGAGCAAAAACATTTGAGACCTCTGCAGCTGCTTTTGACGACCAGTTCTTATGGCTTGGGCTGATGGGAGTCGTAGTGTAAAATAACTGGAGAGCACCCTATTGGTGAAGACTGTGGCCCTATCTGCACTATACTGTATACAGTGGTACCTCAGGTTACAGACGCTTCAGGTTACAGACTCTGCTAACCCAGAAATAGTACCTCGGGTTAAGAACTTTGCTTCAGGATGAGAACAGAAATTGCACTGCGGCAGCAGGAGGCCCCATTAGCTAAAGTGGTACCTCAGGTTAAGAACAGTTTCAGGTTAAGAACGGACCTCCGGAACGAATTAAGTTCTTTTTTTTTTAATATAAGATATTTATTAAGATTTTTTAAAATATTACAATAAAAATGAAAAAAAAATGACAAAAATACAAAATAAAAATAGTTAAAAACACACAGATTTTCCATTACTTATTTTCCTTTGACTTATTTCCCGGACCTCCTCATACCTCCCTTTTTTGTATTCCACTTCAATCTGTTGGTTCAGCAAATCCTTTAAAAGTAATAATATTAAATTTTTACCTATTTATAACCCTTTTTTCATATTCCCTTAAAGCATTACAGCTGGAAACCACTTAATTACTATCCAACATCATTCTAACATTCATTAATTTTACAATATTTCTGTAGATAATCTTTGAATTTCTTCCAATCTTCTTCCACCGACTCTTCTCCCTGGTCTCGGATTCTGCCAGTCATTTCTGCCAGTTCCATATAGTCCATCACCTTCATCTGCCATTCTTCCAGAGTGGGTAGATCTTGTGTCTTCCAATACTTTGCAATGAGTATTCTTGCTGCTGTTGTGGCATACATAAAAAAAGTTCTGTCCTTCTTTGGCACCAATTGGCCGACTATGCCTAGGAGAAAGGCCTCTGGTTTCTTCAAGAAGGTATGTTTAAATACCTTTTTCAGTTCATTATATATCATTTCCCAGAAGGCCTTAATCCTTGGGCACGTCCACCAAAGGTGAAAGAATGTACCTTCAGTTTCTTTACATTTCCAGCATTTATTGTCGGGCAAATGATAGATTTTTGCAAGCTTGACTGGGGTCATGTACCACCTGTATATCATTTTCATAATATTCTCTCTTAGGACATTACATGCCGTAAACTTCATACCTGTGGTCCATAACTGTTCCCAGTCAGCAAACATAATATTATGTCCAACATCTTGTGCCCATTTAATCATAGCAGATTTCACCGTTTCATCCTGAGTATTCCATTTCAACAGCAAGTTATACATTCTTGACAAATTCTTAGTTTTGGGTTCTAACAGTTCTGTTTCTAATTTTGATTTTTCCACCTGGAAGCCAATTTTCTTGTCCAAATTATATGCCTCCATTATCTGATAATAATGAAGCCAGTCTCGCACTTTATTTTTAGTTTCTCAAAACTCTGCAGTTTCAGTCTATCTCCATCTTGTTCCAAAATTTCCCAATATTTCGGCCAATTGGCCTCCATATTGAGCCTTTTCAGAGCTTTCGCTTCCATCGGTGACAGCCACCTTGGGGTTTTGTTTTCCAACAAATCCTTGTATCTTATCCAAACATTAAACAGTGCTTTCCTGACAATATGGTTTTTAAATGCTTTATGCGCTTTGACCTTGTCATACCACAGATATGCATGCCATCCAAATACATTGTTAAAACCTTCTAAGTCCAAAATGTCTGTGTTTTCAAGAAGTAGCCATTCTTTCAACCAGCAAAAAGCTGCTGATTCATAGTAAAGTTTAAAGTCTGGCAGGGCAAATCCACCCCTTTCCTTTGCATCAGTTAATATCTTAAATTTTATTCTGGGCTTCTTGCCCTGCCAGACAAATCTAGAAATATCTCTCTGCCACTTCTTGAAACAGTCCATCTTGTCCACAATTTGCAATGTTTGAAACAAAAACAGCATTCTAGGCAATACATTCATTTTTATCACAGCAATACGACCCAACAGTGAAAGCTTCAAATTTGACCAGATTTCTAAATCTTTTTCACTTCCGTCCAACATTTTTCATAATTATCTTTAAATAAGTTCCCATTTTTGGCTGTCATGTTAATCCCCAGGTATTTCACTTTCTTAACCACAGTCAGGCCTGTCTCATTCTGAAACCTCTCTCTTTCAATCAGTGTTAAATTTTTCTCTAAAACCTTAGTTTTTAACTTGTTCAGTTTAAATCCTGCCAGTTGACCAAATTCTTGAATTAGTTCTAAAACCCTTTTGGTACTAGATTCTGGCTCCTGTAACGTCAATACTAAGTCATCTGCAAATGCTCTCAGTTTGTACTGTTTGGCTCCGACCTGTATACCTTTAACCAACCGGTCCCTTCTAATCATATTCAGCAGAACCTCCAGGACCGATATAAAAGCAGTGGGGAGATTGGGCACCCCTGTCGTGTCCCTTTTTCTATCTTAAATTCTTCCGTCACCACATTATTTACAATTAATTTAGCCTTTTGTTCAGAGTATATTGCACCTATACCATTTTCAAAACCTTGGCCTACCCCCATCCCCTGTAGGTTCTTCTGTAGCTCCAAGAGATGTTGTCAAAGGCTTTCTCCGCGTCCACAAATATCAGAACTGCTTTAGTGTTTATATTCACTTCTAGTTTTTCCAAAATATCAATTATATTTCTCAAATTATCAGACAAGTGTCTTCCTGGGAGAAAGCCCGCTTGGTCTTTATGGATCTCTTCCATCAATACTTTTTTCAATCTCTTGGCCAAAATGTCTGCAAAAATTTTGTAATCCACATTGAGTAACGATATAGGGCGGTAGTTCTTAAGCTGAGTCTTTTCAGTCTCTGTTTTCGGTATAAGTGTAATGTACGCCTCTTTCCACGACTCTGGTGCCCTTTTCCCTTCCAATATTTCATTACAGACTTCCCGGAACGAATTAAGTTCTTAACCTGAGGTACCATGGTACATGTAAAGCTTCTTCCAAAGAATCCTGGGAATTGTAGTTTGTTAAGTGCGCTGAGAGTTGCTAGGTTAGGAGATCCCCTATTCCCCTCACAGAGCTACAATTCCCAGAGTTCTCTGGGAAGAGGGATTGATTGTTTAACTACTCTGCAAAATTGTAGATCTGTGATGGGAAATAGGATTCTTTAAAGATGGTAAATTAGGATTTCGCTTACTTGCCTTGTTTGAGGCATCATCATCATTATAGAACATTAAAATTTCATCCTCTTCCCCTCCAAAAAACTTCGTAAAAACATGGCCAGAATTTTAAATTTTAAGTTTTCCCTGTTCAGGGAAGTTTTTAATATTTAACACTGTACTGTTTTTAACACTTGATTGGGAGCCGCCCAGAGTGGCTGGAGAAACTCAGCCAGATGGGCGGGGTATAAATAATAAATTATTATTATAAATGATAGCTTTATTTCACGTGGGGTTATTCTGCTGCAGATCTTGTTGTTGACGAACTGGAATGAGAGAGTGAGAAAATGCTGAGCTCTTCTCGCAATACGTATTATTCTAGGGATAGTGATCATGCAAATGTGAACCAAGGAAGATTGGGTGTTTTCCTTTCCTGGAACTCGTGGAATGATGTGGGAATTTCTCAGCAGGTGGAGATTTCATTCATACCTGGAATGATGAGCATGCAAATATGCAAAGGTGGGAGCTTCCTTTTGTTCCTTGGGCAAATGGATTGCTGGAGGAATTCCAAGGCTTGAAGATAAGAATCAAAACCTGTACCAGAGAGTTACAGTGTGGGATGTTATGCATAATTCCACCTTTCCTAAAGAGATACTGTATCACAGCCTGGGAATTCTGGGAAGCATTCTTAGCATACCACAATGTCTTACTGACTATGCAAATGACGCCAGCTTAATTAGCCTTCCGATCAGATGCATTTCCTCCTGCGGGGGGCGGGGGGGCGGGGAGGATAGAGGAATGAAGACAGGGCAATGGATGAGTTTTAGCTATCCATTGCCCTTCAGTGTAAAAAGCAAAACAAAAAAACAGGGCAGCTTACAGCTATAAAATCAAAGCAAAAAGCAATTAAGCAATTAAGCAATGGTAATAAAAGAAGAGCCGTAAATAAATAAAACAGTAGCATTAAAAAAAAAAAGTCATGCACGCACACTATGTATATATAAGCTGCCCACTCATATATCAAGGCAGTGATCAATAGGCAGAATAAAATACAAGTATAAAACACCATAAAAACAAAACAATCATTAAAAAGGGCTGGCTCATCTTTTGAGTTAAAACAAATGAATAGGCCTGTTGGTCTTCAAGAGATGCCTGAATATCAATAATACTCTTAGCACATAAGAGGCCTAATGGATCAGGCCAGAAATATGTACATACCTGTCAAGTGTCCTGAGGGGAAAAAATGACAACTCATTTTTTCACATGAGATCAAGGCAGCCATTTTGGGTGTTGTGCTCTTGTCCACTTTTTTTCCGGGGTGAAATTGTGGTGTGGGTCACGTGACTCACCCGGGTTTCCGATCCGAAATGGACGGTACGTATGTGTATAACTAACGAAGCTCCTCCAGATTACCTCAGTAATTGAGCTGGGATATATAAAGGGGTCAGGGCTTCATATATTCATACATGAACCTTGAACCTAGCCCAGTATTGAGTTTGAAATGTGTGGATCCCTCAGGTACCCAGGTCCAAAAGCCATGCAGGGATTTAAAAGTGAGCAGCAACACTTTGAATTGTGACTGGGAGCAGACAAGAAGGCAGTACAACCCTTTAAACTCTGGTGAGATGCATTCAAAATGGGTGCTCCTAGTGAGCAGCCTAGTGGCTTCTATTCTGAGGTAAATGTGATTGCCAAAGAAGAAGAAGAACTGGTTCCCTTGAACAGTTTCCAAAGGCTGTTTTCCATACAAGCGCTTTGTTTGTTTGTTTATCATATCACCCTTAATTCCAAAGATAACAGGGCAGCCCACAACAAAAAATATAGTAACCTTGCCATCATGTTTTGGCTTAACTATAGTCAATATTTGTGGCCCCTACTCACAACCAAAAGTGATTTGGGCACAGGGCTGGTCCTACCATTAGGCAGACTGAGGCAATTACCTCAGGCGGCAGATGTTGTGGCGCATGAGGCGGCCAGTGGCCGTAAGCCCACAACTATTCCCCTCTGTTGGAGACCAGAGCTGTGTGTGGCACATGGCCTGGCATGTACCCCTTTAAACTACCCTGCTGCCCTCAGGTATAGCGGACGATGCTATCCCATTCGCAGCGTGGAAGTACTGTAAGATCAAACCAACAATCCTGTCAGGAATGGTTGGTGGGGACGCCATCTTGTCCTTTGCCTCAGGGAGCAAAAAGTCTTGGGAGAGCCAGGTTTGTGAAACTATTTATTTATTTACTTGTTTGTTTGTTTGTTTGTTTGATTCCCCCCCCCCCAATCACCTTTCATCACAAGTTGTCAGGGCAAGGAACTATGACTATACAGTATGGCTAAAAATGGCTACCCTTTAAAAGGGTCTCATCTTCAGGCTTCTGTGCTCTTTGTTCCCGGTCATTGGCTCTTTGCTGGAAACCAAATGACACTCAATACTGAGCATTCAAACACCCTTTTTTATTTTATTACCTCACACTTTGGAACTTTCCAGGTTTAGTTTCAGTGGGCCTGCTCAGAATGTCAATAAAGTGAGGTCAGAGCTCTCACACTTATCTGTCCTTAAGATGAAACTTAAGATGTCTGCAGGTTTTGCCATAACCCTCTATTTTTGGATACCTGTGGAGAGTACAGTTACATCTAGGTGCTGAATCAGGTGGTGGCTACACCCCAGGTAAATGCTTTAATGTTGAGCTCATCATGAATAAGATGGTCCTCTGGGGAATGACAGTTTTACTGAAGCTACGCAGGTCCTGTGGACTCTCCTTCCTTGGAGGTTTTTAAGCAGAGGTTGGATGGCTATCTGCCATGGATGCTTTAGCTGAGATTCTTTCATTGCGGGGGGCTGGACTAGAGGACCTTTGGGGTCCCTTCCAACTCTACAGTTCTATTCTGTGATTCTACAAATAGGAAATTGCTTGGGAACCCCATCCAGGGGTGTAGGAAGGGGGGCAGTGGGGGTGCCCTCACTGAGGGGGGTGGCATTTGGCGAGCCGCCCGCCCACAACTCTCAGGCCTACCCCGAGCCATTGGGGTAAGGGGGGAGCTGCACCCCTTTGCCAGTGACATTTTCCCCTCCCCCCTTTGTTTTGACAGCTTGGGGGAGCCTTAGATGTTGCGGGCGGGCAGCACGCCAAATGTCTGACATGGGTGGCTCGCTCTGCCGCCAGCTGCAGGGCACACATGCCGCTCCAGGCACCCAAGTGGCTATCTCACGCCTGGGAGGGCACCCTCTACGCCACGCCCCCCTCAGGAGCATGCCATGCCCCCCTCAGGAGCATGCCCACCCTCAGCAGCACGGGCATATGCTCCTCCGCTGACCCACTTTTCTTTACATGCTATGTCTTGATAAACTTTTGCTGCCAATTATTAAAGGCCTGTTATATTATTATTGGTTCCATTTTACTCCCCTGCTGCCTTCAGCATGGGTGGGGGGTGGGTCGGTCTGCAGAATAGAAGGTGGGGGCAGGAGGGGGGGCAGCATTTTCTGTTTTGCCTCAAGCGGTGAAACGTCCTGGGCCATAAGCGCTTGCAGAGTCCCAGTGAATAGGTTGAGTGAGCTTAGTGTTCCAATCTTGACATTGCTGTGTTTTGATTGATGCCATCCGTGCCCTCCTGACTGGGTGGGGCATTCTCAGTTGAATTATATTGTTACTGGAAGGCTGCAATTTGGTTGCCAGGCCCCTGGCAGGAGTGGCGTACCATCATTCTTGTGTCAGATTGTGCTTTTGACTTGGGCAGTTGGGGCTGCGTAGAATGCCACAGTAATTCCTAGTGCAGTGGAGGGTATCTTAACCTGGCACGGCCAACCGTGTTACAGTAAGGTCGAATAAAAGGGTCATCATCATGTGAATGGCATCACAGTTTCCAGTATAGGAGGGGTGTGGTAAAAGGCTATAGAAACATGCTTTTTTTTTGCTGAGAAAATGCAGAGGAAGACATTTTTCTCTTTCTCTTGGGAGCAAAGCAACAACACTTGCAACCAGTTGGGGGCGACAGACAGAAAGGCAACCTATTCTTCCCTTGCTGATTCCTTGTTATGTGACCACCTGCTGTCATGTGCAGTGTGTTTCTTCTCTTCCTTATCTCCTCCCTTTTGCTAACCTCATAACCCCATCATGGCCATATAGAAGCTTGTACTCGGAATGGCTTTGCTTGCCAGGAGCAATAAGCCTTCAGTTTATTCTTTTAACCGCCAGTCTCACCAGACTATTTGTTTCTACATTTCCTTGCAACCTATATGCCAAACTCCAACACTCATATTGCCCACCATGCCCAATTAATTTATGAAACGCCTTGCTGCAAAATGTGCTGTTGGCCGGTAACCCTAGCTGGCTTTAAAGGGGGGTGGGGATAGACAAATGCTACTTATTTACATAGTTTATATAGGTTATATATAACTTAAGTCCTTTGGACAGGTTATAGGGATTAAAAGCAACGTAATTATTGCAAAATTCATGGAGGATATGTTTCTTGGTGCTGGAGGAGACTCTTGAGAGTCCCATGGACTGCAAGAAGAACAAACCTATCCATTCTTAAGGAAATCAGCCCTGAGTGCTCACTGGAAGGACAGATCCTGAAGCTGAGACTCCAATACTTTGGCCACCTCATGAGAAGAGAAGACTCCCTGGAAAAGACCCTGATGTTGGGAAAGATGGAGGGCACAAGGAGAGGGGGACGACAGAGGATGAGATGGTTGGACAGTGTTCTCGAAGCTACCAGCATGAGTTTGACCAAACTGCGGGAGGCAGTGGAAGGCAGGAGTACCTGGCGTGCTCTGGTCCATGGGGTCACAAAGAGTTGGACATGACTAATCAACAACAACAAATTACCCACCACAGTAAACAAGACCTCCAGATTCAGAGGCAGTATTCTTCTTCAGGTCTGTTTGTGGGTGTCCTAGAGGTTAATGGCAGGCCGCTGTAAGAAAAAGGATACTTGATGAGATGGACCCTCAGTCTGATTCAGTAGTTCTCCTCATACTCGTGTGTGTGCGCGTGTTTTAACAGCATACTGGCAAGGAACATTCCAGAAGGGCAAAGAAGCCATTGCACTTGCATCTAGGAGAATCAGGCACCTGAGAAGATTTCATAATGACAAGGTATGGTGGCAGGTATAATTATTTTAAATGCTAGATTGCTCAACCCATGTTTACAGGTTCTGAGCAGAGTCATTGATCATGAACTTTGCAATCGATAGCAGCTGACATGATTTCAACACAGGAGGATGCAGCCTAAGGACAGACTGCACCGGCTAATATTTATGTAAGGCCTGCCAGGTTATCTTATAACTGCATACTTTAAGCAGTTTGGGCAGAGAGCCGCTAATCCAGAGATGTGCCCCATGATATTCTTGTAAAGAAGCTAGTAAAATGCGGTCTTGACTATGCTACCACTCAGTGGATTTGTAACTGGCTGACTGACCGAACCCAAAGGGTGCTCATCAATGGTTCCTCTTCATCCTGGAGAAGAGTGACTAGTGGAGTGCCACAGGGTTCTGTCTTGGGCCCGGTCTTATTCAACATCTTTATCAACGACTTGGATGATGGACTCAAGGGCATCCTGATCAAATTTGCAGATGACACCAAACTGGGAGGGTGGCTAACGCCCCGGAGGACAGGATCACACTTCAAAACGACCTTGACAGATTAGAGAACTGGGCCAAAACAAACAAGATGAACTTTAACAGGGAGAAATGTAAAGTATTGCACTTGGGCAAAAAAAATGAGAGGCACAAATACAAGATGGGTGACACCTGGCTTGAGAGCAGTACATGTGAAAAGGATCGAGGAGTCTTGGTTGACCACAAACTTGACATGAGCCAACAGTGTGACGCGGCAGCTAAAAAAGCCAATGCAATTCTGGGCTGCATCAATAGGAGTATAGCAGCTAGATCAAGGGAAGTAATAGTGCCACTGTATTCTGCTCTGGTCAGACCTCACCTGGAGTACTGTGTCCAGTTCTGGGCACCACAGTTCAAGAAGGACACTGACAAACTGGAAGGTGTCCAGAGGAGGGCAACCAAATGGTCAAAGGCCTGGAAACGATGCCTTATGAGGAATGGCTAAGGGAGCTGGGCATGTTTAGCCTGGAGAAGAGGAGGTTAAGGGGTGATATGATAGCCATGTTCAAATATATAAAAGGATGTCATATAGAGGAGGGAGAAAGGTTGTTTTCTGCTGCTCCAGAGAAGCGGACACGCAGCAATGGATCCAAACTACAAGAAAGAAGATTCCACCTAAACATTAGGAAGAACTTCCTGACAGTAAGAGCTGTTCGACAGTGGAATTTGCTGCCAAGGAGTGTGGCGGAGTCTCCTTCTTTGGAGGTCTTTAAGCAGAGGCTTGACAACCATATGTCAGGAGTGCTCTGATGGTGTTTCCTGCTTGGCAGGGGGTTGGACTCGATGGCCCTTGTGGTCTCTTCCAACTCTATGATTCTATGTTCTCACTTTCTGATTTGCACTCTGTGTCTAATGGGTGAATTTTTAAAAAACTGAACAAACAAAGCACATGGGAAACTGTACCTCACAAGATTGGTACAGTTGTCTTCCCTGGTTGGGATTGGCTGCTACTGACTCCTCCTGCAAGACTGGCAGAATCCATTAAGATAGCCTGAGGGATTTCTGAATATTTGCGAGGGGGCGGCTAACCATCTCTGGTCAAGATCCTTGCCTCACTGTGGACAGGCCCATTGGCACAATTGCTTCTAACTGACCTTGGTTTTCTGGGTGGTGAAGCAGATGATGACTGGAGCACAGTTGGAGCAAATCTTGTGAGGAACAAGACCAAACATAAGTGAGAGTACATAACTGTGTCTACCATGTGGCAGTAGAGGTAAATGTGGCTTATTTCTCAGCCTCCTTCCAAGTGGGGGATGAACTGGAATAGAAACAGCTAGCAACTTGAAGTCCACTGTGGAAATGTGGCCCTCAAACTGAATAAAATTATCCTCCCCTGGCCTGGAGCACTAGGTAAGAGTCTTGGAGCATATTATATTTCACTAGAACAGCTACTAGAGTCAGGGCCAGCCCACCTATGTGGCAAGATTAGGCAAC